TGCCTTGGGAGTTGTCTTTTTGAGTAATCAATCAGCATGATTCTAGGAGAATCTGGAATCAGGATCACTTATAATGCTGTACTTAAACTTTGAGCAAATAACAAGCATTGTCCAGATGGTTTACAAAAATATTTGAAATATGGACTTAATCATCACAAAGTTCCATATTAGTATACGAGAATTGGTAAACATTAAAAAGAACTAGTAATACTGATTTGTTGTAAAGGGTAAGTGTTTAAGGCGAGATTTGAGCTCAGAACCATACGATATACTGTCAGGATCTTTACCAGCTAAGCAGGCTGATAGCCTGACACCTTCAAAAAAAAATATCAGACGAAGATTCAAACCCTCAACCTTTGATAAGTGGGGAAAATATATTGGGTGAGAATTTGAACCCTCAACCTTTAGTAAGTGAGGCCAATACACCACCACCAGACCATTGTTTAATATGTCCAGCACCAAATTTCAAATGCATTTTTCAATTGCAATCATATACTAGTTAGAGTTGTTTTCTTAAAAAATAAATGAGCATGCAATGCACAGGACTCCTGCAATGCCAGATCTAGAGAGCTCAGCATATGCAGCCTCACCTCTCCAAGTAGAGGGGCTGTTTCCAAGGGTAAAAACCTGGTCAACCAGGTGGTAAAGACGCAGCCTTATTATGGCACCAACACTCATCTTCTTCAGCTAAATCTCATCCAAATGGTTCCCTTACGTGTTACAACAGGGAAGTTTGTTTGGTCTTCTAATAATCAACTGGTAACTATAAAATGCCTTGGGAGTTGTCTTTTTGAGTAATCAATCAGCATGATTCTAGGAGAATCTGGAATCAGGATCACTTATAATGCTGTACTTCAACTTTGAGCAAATAACAAGCATTATCCAGATGGTCTACAAAAATATTTGAAATATGGACTTAATCATCACAAAGTTCCATATTAGTATGCAAGAATTGGTAAACATGAAAAAGAACTAGTAATATTGATTTGTTGCAAAGGGTAAGTGCTTAAGGTGAGATTTGAGTTCAGAACCTTGCGATATACTGTCAGGATCTTTACCAGCTAAGCTAGCTGATAGCCTGACACCTTCCAAAAAAATATCAGAAGAAGATTCAAACCCTCAACCTTTGATAAGTGAGGAAAATATATTGGGTGTGAATTTGAACCCTCAACCTTTAGTAAGTGGGTCCAATACACCACCACCAGACCAATGTTTAATATGTCCTTTAATTACCAAACCAATATTTAAGTACTAGAAACACCTATACAAAGAAAAACTTATCATGACAGAAATTATAGGTTCCCAGCTGCTAATTCCAGTCCGTGGAAAAGAACTGATTGGAGGCGTCCACAAAAGTGGTCTGAATTAACCTTGCAAGCTTCTAATTCATCATCAAGCCTGCAGATACTATTTTAGAACTTATCTATCATTGATCCAGTGTCTTTAAAGTCATGACACAGAGACAAAGTCCTTTCCAACTTAGCATTCTCCATTTCCGTTCCTAAAAATGGAGTAAACAGTACAGTTCAACCGGAAATCAAAAACAGAACCAAACATGAATCAATAATATATCCATTCATAATATATAGAAGATATGCTCATGCAAAAACAATCAACAGGCTAGAAAGAATGTAATAGATGGAAAGTAATTTAACTTGACACCTGCAAAGTACTTGAAGAAAATTCATATTCATCAGCTTGTCGCTTTCTTTTAATGACTGAAGTCTCACCATCACACTGTCTTTTTTCTATTTTTAAGACACTTGAATCTATTTTTGAAGATGATGCATGTTCAGTTCCAGCCTTTACATACTTAAACATATAACGACCAGGAATCAATTCAATAATGTCACCATCATCAAGCTTCGCTTTCTCTTGGGAGGAGAGCTTCTTTCGTTGACCCCCACATCTGAATATTATTGGATTTGGTCCTTCCTGCAAGGCCAAGCAAAATCTGAACCAGAGAGCTAATAGAAAATCTATAACATCTAATTATCAAATTGGTAAAAGAATAAAAACTACAGGTTTGAATTCCTTTAAATCCTTTGGATTAATAAGATCTTATGAGAAATACAAGTAATAGCACAAGGTTAACAATATGCACGGTTGGGAGGTCACTAGTAAATTCTATCATCAATAATGATGGTTGGCAAATAGCTGTTGACAAATTTAATGTTGTCTAAGTAACATACGAACCACAACAACTTCCGCTGAGCCATCAAATGATGCTTGCAAGCTGATATGTTTGCGACTAACTCGCTTGTCAGAGACATTAAGGTTGTTGCGACCAACAAAATTAGCTCCTTCAAAAATTGGTACATTTGAGGCCAAACAGCCAGCAACAAGGTTTCTTTGACATGAAACTAAGGTACCAATTATCACCTGTAATATAAAAAACAGTAGTTACTGGAATCATATGCGATGAGCACAATGCAACAGATCAGCTACAAGTCTCATTTAAAACACAATTAATGTGTATATAGAAAGCACAAGAATTACATGATAATGCGTATGCAGCAATTTTTATTGAAATAAATCATGGAAGTGATGGTGCGATGATGGAAAACATCTAGGTGTGTGCTACAAGACCAATAAACTGACACCAAACTAAGGGTACCAATCATAAAGACATCCACTTCATTCATACAATCATAAAATTTGTTTCCAAATAACAAAAGGCAGCCTAGTGGCCAGCGCACAAGACTCCCACTGCAGGATCAGATGTTTGTAACTGTATCCTCACATGTGAAGAGCTTGTTTCTTTGAATAAAGCCCATGATACCCATGTTGAAAAGGTGCAACCCTACCATTGAACTGAGGTCCAAATTTGATATTTGAAAAACATTTTAACCATGTTTGGCTATACTGTAGCAACAAAGCAGACAACACGAACATGGTTGTTAGATTTTTGAGGAATATGCAGGGAAACCAAGATTTAATTGGACATGTCCATTATTTTCCACTCTTTGAAAATTGCATAACGCCTCTGCTCATCCAAACAATAGAAATATTTGTTTGTTTTAAGATTGTAGGGATATGCTTATAAAACCAATAATACAAAGGATAGATCCATTGTTTTCTACCTTTTAAGCGCATGTATGTAAAATTTAACCATTGAAAAATATTTGTGATATCCGTGATTTTCTCTTAAGTGATTAGATAAGTGGTGGGGGCTGACAAAACTCACCCCAACTATCAAACTGTATATGTATTGTACCTTTTTATGGCATTTAGTCCGTTTAACGTGCCTATAAGAGTTTACATGGTTACGGGTTTCTGAATAACCTGTGGTAGGATGACTGAGCTCAGGACGCACAGTGATAAAAAATAAATTTGCCTTTCACAATTGTCACTCCATAACTAATCTTAATTACCAGATAAACTATCCAACTCATTATGGATACTTGATGATGATGGCTTCCTAAAGAGTAAAGAAAGGAAAGCCTGAAAAAAGAAAACACATGAAAGCAAGAACGTGCAAAGTGATTCCAAAGATCAATTTAAACACAAGCCCTAAGAAAACAAGCTATAAAGATCCAATCTTTTCAAGAATTTATTGTCGACCTACATTGTTAGGTACAATGACCTTCTCCTCATCCAACCATGGCAGCGAAGATATATCAGAAAGGATTTAGAGACTCGTCAGTGGCACACATCATAGTTTAGAAACAATTAAAGGAACAAACGACAGAAAGCAAAATCTTTAAATATCAACGATATGTAGAAAAGATTTCACGGGAAAAAGAGAGCACACGTAGAGTGATACCAATGATCAACTAAAAGACAAGTCCTAAGAAAACAAACAGGATCCAATCTTTTCAAGAACTTTATTCTCGACCCACATCGCTTGGTACAAATGACCTTCGCCTCGTCTAACCATGGCAGCCAAAGAGGCATCGGAAAGGCTTTAAAGACTTAGTTAAATGACACACATCAGAGGGTTAAATCAATAAAAGAAACGGTAAACTCATACAAACGAGTAAAATAAAATAGAAGCAATGTTTAATTTGAAACACTCAAAGAAATTAAGGCAAAGAAGATTTGCGAGGGAAGTACCCGAGACTCGGCCATGAGAAAAGAAGGTTGAAGAAGAAAAGCCTTCTCTTTTCCCCCTTCAGCAACAATCTGCGGCAATCGTAAGCGATCGAGATAGGGAGGGAACGGGAGAAACCCTAGGTCGCCCACCACCGGGGGAGCGCGCCGACGTCGCAGCGGCCACTCGACGCATTCATTCTGTTTCAAGAATCACGGAAGGAGCGGCTGCCGAGAGATTTAGAACGGGGGGCCATGCGATCGCATATTCTTTCAACGGCGGATCTAAAAGTCCCTTGGAGATCCAACGGTGCTCAACGTCGCCCTTGGTTAAAGAATCGAGCGCGTGTCGGAATGACAAGAAAGTGTAGGGTGTTGTATTCGGCACGGAAAACCCATGTCGGTGCCACGTCGCCATTCAAGGGGTTGCACGAATCGCGAAGAAGTTGAGGATATGCGTGTCTTGAGGATTTTGGGCCAATTGGATGATGTGTTTTGGGTTAAGATTGGAGTCGAGGTCGCTTACTCACATTATCCATGAACCTATAAACCAAAGCGAAGAGGTAGTGAGACATCATTCATCTCTAATTTTTATGACTTGGATCTCTACAAATGTTATCAAATGTGAAAAACTTGACATGCTTTTTCAAAAGCATCAGATAAAGGCTTTGACATTTTAATACGAAGTGTTGAACTTGAATTCTATTTTCATTACTTACCATTTACATTAAAAAAAAAAATTGATGATCTGTGCCTTTTTTTTTCCCTCCGACGAAGAGCTAAGCGTTGTAATTTAGAATCACAGTCGTGAAAAATTGTATATTCATAAAAGAATTACAACGAAAAATTATCACAAAAAAAATATTTGTGTCAATTATTTTAGACCATCGGCCCTAAACCAGAACATAATTTTTTTTTCTAAAGGATCCAATTTCAAGATTCTTTTAAAAGGTATGTTATGCGAGAAAATATAGAAATTCACACCAAAATGAGGGGGTTAAAGAAATTAATTATGAAGATCGGAATATAAATTTGTGTTGATATACGATATTGTGAAATGGCAACTGATTTAAGGTTTGGGAATCTAAAAAAATTTATCACTTTGTTCATTCAGAACATGTTTTTTTAACGTGTTCATTCAGAACACGTGGAAAGAATGGTAAAAAGAATTGTTTCCTTTTTAATTTGAAAATTATACACATATATGAAGGAAAATAAAGTTAATAAATATATATATATACATATAAATCCAAAAAGTATATTTGATTGCAAATGCAAATTTTCTCACCAACTAATGCATAAAAGTTTTTTAAAATATATATGTAAAATCATGTATTAATTAGAAATAGGAATAAAGTTTAGAAAAGAGGATCGGAGCACATGTCAAGAAAATTTGACTAAAGATAATATCTGAAAAATGAACAATATGTGTTTATATTTAATATATACTTAACATATCAAAACTGAAATATTTTTTTTATTAGATGAGAAAATCTTACTACTCTGTTAAGAGAAATCCTTTCTCCTGATCTATATAGACAGCGAGAATATATCAACAAAGAAAACAACTTCTATCTTTAATTTCTATCTTCTATCGCGGTATCAGAGTAATTCTTACGTTAGAAATTCTGCTTCTCCTCAATCCGCAGCACTGTTCTTTTCCTCTTCGATAACAGACCTCACTCCACCGCGACTCTCCGCTGCTACTGCCATTGCAACCCTTCTCTTTCGCTCCGTCAAGTCCTCTTGCGGTCTCAAACGTCGTCGTCGCCCTCATTGGCACCACTGATCAGCCACGAAAGTCGCTGCCGACTTTGCTGGTCTCCTCGGACACCTCCTAAGATGTAGATCCCAGATCTGCAAATCTGAGATCTCCTGGAGTCGGAGCATTCCCCGTGACTTACCGGAGACGACTTCCCGGTGACCCCATGGGCACGACGTTGTCTTCTCCTCCACCGAGAACCTACTCTCCTCTGCCTCGGCACACCTCCGGCGACATTGATCTGAAGCGACGACGGTTGTCCTATTGTCATCACTTTCTCCCTTGTGGCTACTACGACACTTCCTTGGTGAACAGCGATTGTCATCTCCTGCTGTCGCTCTGTGTCAACATCTCTGTGCTATCCATTCGCTGCAGCCCGTTGCAACACTTGCGGTTGCCTGCTTCGCTGATCTGCTCGGAGGTCTTTCTGCTGTTACCCGACAATCGTTGCAGTCTCTCTCTCTCTCTTCTTTCACGTTCATTGTAGTTTCCTTTTGCTGCCTCTGATCAGTGATCAGATCATCCAGCTATCAGATTCCTATTAATTGACTCGCTGCTAACGAAGCAAGATACCAGCGGACAACAGGATGCAAGCGCCCCCACCTTCTTCCTGCGGAGGCAGAGCCAATCCTTCTCCTCTATCCTCCATCCCCTCTCCTCCCCATCACTACTCTGCAAGTACAACTGGTGGTGTTTTCCTTCTTTGCACCGAAGTTTCTCGCAGCATTGTGTCACTCTACAAAGGGAGAGATTGGTGCGGTAGAGGGAGTAGGAGGCGTGACATACCTAGTGCAAATCCCATCGCTGGATCTCCATCCCGATGACTTCCAGCCTGATGACCATGCGTCACTGCATCTAAAACTCCAAGACTGTGCCACCATGGAAGCAGCATCGTCTTCTGTTCCGACCAAGCGCCACTTGAAGCAGATAGAATGGCTGGCATAGTTGTGGACGCCGCAGGAGCAATACCAGTCACCGAGCTTCACATCCTAGCTCTCGCTGACGCTGGTGTAGTCCACCCTCCCCACGCTCAGCTTGAGCTCGCTGCATCGTTGGCACGAGTCCCACGACCTCTGCTACAACCCCAGCTTCACATCATTGACATACTGACACGACTTGTAACCCCATTCCCCAAGCTTTCGACTACTGCATCTTGCCACTTTGTGCTTCTTTCCTCATTGGCACTGCTCTCCATCCTCACATATCTGCAACCATCACTACGGCATAAACAGATCTGAGTTCCACGCTGTACACCTCCCTATCAGCCGTCGAACTTCAACTATCTTCTCATAAGTCGGTGGCGGTGGCAAACACTACCCTCTCTAAGCCTCCTGTTGCTCCTTTTAACGGTCTTCTCTCGTGGGCCGACCTAGTGCTATTGTCGTCGTCCTCTTACTATCACTACCATCCACCGATCATGGGCTGGCCTCGAGTTCGCCAATAATCTGCTATGACTACCATCCAGCGGAAGTTTGGTGGATCTTCAACCACCGGCTCCTATGCTCTCGACCAACCTTGTGCTCACCTTTATTCTACTCTTCATTGCGAGGCTCTTCCTCCTGTGCTTCTCCGATCGCATGCCACACCTTCAACCAATCGACCATTACTCGACCAAAACTCCCGTCCTCGATCAGTACACATCCTCAAGATGGCCCTCTCAATTGTTCATCTGTCATGATCAACATCCTCGGATAATCCAATCCAGTATTAAATCTAGCTCACAAACTATGATTACATCAAGATTGTCTCGTCCTCCAAGCTATTCAAGCCTCAATTGCTGGATCCATCACCCCATTGATATCTGCATGTGTGATTGTTGGAGAAGCATGGTATAAGCTGCAAACAATCTTAGCAAATTGTTCGCATACTCGTAAGGTCAGTCTTCTATCCAGTCTAATGAAAACAAAATAAGAGGAAAGTACTATTGCTGATTATCTACAAAATCTTAAAATTATCATTGATGACTTAGCTTTAATAGGTCATTCCCTATGTGATGAAAAAGTCATCATCTATACCCTTAATGGCCTCGGAAACGAGTATAAGGAATTAGCAGTCATAATTTGGGTACTTAATTTACTAATATCATTTGAAGAACTCTATAACAAGTTAACTGACTATAAGACATATTTGAAGTACGAGGATAAATTGCCCGGACCGACCATCATAGCTCAAGTCAGTCAAAAGTCCAAGAGGAAAAGCAACCAGTACAATAAGAACATCAACGAAGGTTTGGCTAAGATGTCTCTTGACCTTATGAGTCCCAATCAAACCCCCCTATCCTTATCATCCCCCTATCCTTATCATCAACATTTCTCGCAAAGTAGCAAGTCTAATAACTATCAGCCCTGACATCCTACCCTCACAAGCTAACAAAGAGTCGTCTACCAACTATATGATAAAATCAAATACTCCGTAAAAGTCTGTCGGTCTCGACCCTGACTCCCTACTTCGCCACAATGGCCTTAGATGAATCTCATAACTACTCCGACTACAAGCCAATCCAATTGGATTATGGACTCTAGTGCCTCTCATCACATCACATCTGATCTTCAGAACTTATCTATCCACAGCAACTATGGTGGAAATGAAGATATCATTATCGATGATGGTAAAAGACCTCCTATTACTCATACTAGTTCCACAATGCTTAATTTTGATATTACAACCTTTACACTCGATGATGTTCTATGTGCCCCTCATATTAAATGAAACCTAATTTTCGTTCTTAATTTTACAAACACAATAATACTTCAATTGAATTCTTTCCTGATTTTTTTCTTGTTAAGGACTTGAGCACGAGGGTATCTTTGGTCGTGGACTTGAGCATGAGGGTATCTTTGGTTCAAGGCCCGAATAGAGACAACATTTATGAATGACCGTCAGCTCCACAAATAACCTAGCCCAATGTTCACTCTTCAGTTGCAGCTCCAATTGATGTGTGACATTATCGTCTTGGTCATCCCTCGTCCCTTATCTAGCAGAAATTACTTTCTTATTACTCTCTTCCTATTTTTAAATCAAGTAGCTCTATAACTCATTATGATGCATGTCTTAGCAATAAAAAGTCATAGACAGCCTTTGGCATATCCTGCATATCCTACTCTAAACTATTTGAAATTATTTATACCGATGTTTGGGGCCCTACTCCAATTATTTCTTTTGATAAATTCAGATTTTATGTCATTTTTTAAGATTATTTCACTAAGTACATATGGTTATATCCTCTTCACTATAAATCTGAATTTTTCATAATCTTTACCAACTTTCGAAAGTTGGTTGAGAACTATTTTTAATCTATAATCAAAATAATTTATTATGATGGTGGAGGTGAATATCAAACCCTGACATCCTATCTCTTAGCTTGTAGTATACAACACCTCAAGTCACCCCCACATACTTTTCAACTAGTTAGCTCTACCGAATGCAAATATTAGCATATAGTT